GGGGTTTGCCACAACTTGGAGCCAACTACGGTCTGCTGTCTCCTGGTCTGCAGCTCTGTCTCCTGGGGGCCCGTTTCCAGTCTGTCCCCAAACCGCAGCAGCTCCAAGTGCCAGTTTTCCAAATCGCCAGAACACCATAGAACCGATCCTTAGCGGTCTAAGTAGTGGAAAAGGTTGATGAATAATAATAAGACCATGTGTTCTGCAGAAGTGTTTCACATCTCCAGCTTGTGGGGGGGCGCCTTATTCATCAATATTGCACATGACTAGCTGTAGCCTTCCAAAGGTTCAAACTTCCCTTTGATGGGATGATTTCCATCGAGGATGGTTCAAACCGGCCCAAAGGAAAAGCATCCCCAGCTGAGAGGAAAGGTGATGCTAATCTGACACAACTGATCCGTTGGTTCAAGCTCCATGCAATGCTCTGATGATTCTTGAAGAATATGTTTGACGAAGACACACTGTTTGGCTTGTCGGGGTCTATCAAGGTTCATCCTTCAAGGACCGGTGACTGTTTGAGACCCCAAACTTGGGCCTTTTATCATATTTAGTATTCTTTTTGTATGACCAATGAGGTCCAAGTGACCCGTAGGGTTTGTTGCTGCAGTATGGTTTCGTGACTCAGAACTGTGACAGCCGTTGACTACAGCCTGGCAGGCCGTTCCCTCTCTTGTCCAACAAAATGCGTGCGTTTTCTTCCGCACGTGACCAGGTGGTGAGCCAGTTCACCTTGTTCGCGACTTTCAAGGGTTCCTTGCATGGACACGAAACCCAACGGTTGCCCCCTGGAACTGGAGGGGAACATACTGTAGTTTTTGTGAGGGGGGAGCTATGTCAGGTTGGAAAAAGGTATCAAAGATTGTGATAGCTTACTCTCTGTATCCACCATCGATCAAGAAGTCTTGATTCTGAAACCAAGTCTGAACTTTGAAGGAGGGATCGATCCAGATTATCCGCTGAAGAACTCTACTTGTGGCTTGATCAATTGGAGCAATGTCCTGAATTGGCTGGTCTCATTCTCTTTCTGGGTCAATTCCTGTCTCATGTTGCATGGGTTTCTTGGTTGTTACGGGCCCCCTTCTCAAGAGTCCTTTCGTTTTCGTGGTCTAGATGGGAGGGTTGAGGAGCTAGCCTTTGGGATCGGGGCGTTTTCTTTCTCAGATGTATGACACAGAAGCCCAGTCTGTCGTGGCAACGCTAAGAGATCTGAGGCTTAAAACCCAACTTCAATCGCGCGCTGCCCGGATCAGAGGCTGGAGGGATATTTCTGGGTGGGACTGCTGGCCAGGCTATTCAATCTTATGGTGGTCGCGGTTTTCCTGGTTTTGTTTTGTTCCCCAACAGTCAAGCTTGGGGGTGTTCAGCCATAGTAAAGACCTTGTAGCAGGTTCCGGAGGAGTTTCAGGTTCAGGAGAAAGTTCCTGAGGAGCAGGTTCAGGAAGAGGTTCCGGAGCAGGTCCTGGAGGAGGCTCCGGAGGAGGTTCCGCAACAGCAAAGCTTAGGGGTCTTCAGCCAGGATCTAAAGACCTTTGGAACTGATCGGAGCAGGATCCGAAGAAAGTTCCGTCAAAGGTTCTGGAGGAGGTACTGAAGCATGGTTGTATCCTATTCCCAGAGCGTCCGGAGCAGGTTCGGAGCAGGTTCGGGAGCGGGGTCAAGAGCTGTAAGAATCTGATATCCAGGCATGGGACGAGGAACGCACAGGATACACCTCCTGCGCAAGACCAAGACTACTCAGTCAAAGCTGCCGGACATCACTACACCCCATGCTGCAGAAAGGTTTACAATTCATAGCCAAGAATCCTTCAGAGCCACACGAAGAGCCTCAACAACTTGACTTTACTGTACAGCCATCGACTTGAAAACCAGTCGAACCTATTCATCATTATACACCCCAAACTCAAACATTGACTCAGTCCTTTCCTCATCCTACAATCCATTCACGCGGTGTGTCTTCCCATGTCCAACACTTCAGGCTGAAGCCATTTACGAGTCCTTCGTGGGCTCCTGCCGAGAACTCTTGGGCGACAGCCATGTGGGCACTGGAGCCTTTGGCGAGATGATGCGGCACGACTCAGTTTGGGCGGCGAGTCGCAGAATGTTTCGGATGGTGTCGGGCTGGAGTGTCCAGTTCTTCTGGGGTCCAATACATCCCAATACCATTTGGGGTCCCACAAGCATTGTGACTGCACTGCTTGGATTTCAACAACATGTATATAGATATAATTATATATATAACTCCATTGGCTTCTAGCTATGCGAGAGTTTGTTCATCCCACCATTTTCTATTTGGACACATGTTTCGACCGATGTTCGACGACCGACGACTCCACGCCGAGGCAACTGGAGCTCTGCAACGACGGCCCCGTAACCGTGGAACTCGAGACCCCACGCAGCGCGGTGCGCGGAACTCGACACCGAAGGACTCAGCGAAGAAGGAGACCGTTCTGCCTGGCAGGAGCACCGGTCGCCGCCGGTCGCCAGCAGTGTTTTGAGGGGTTGTGGTAAGATGGAGTTCAATAGTCTTGACAAACCAGTCTAATCCAAAAGACATGCAACATGTTCTCCTTGACGCCTACGTACCGTTGACTCGAAGGGTCAAGCCTCAATGCCATTAGGATATTGTGCAGGGACAATAGGTAGGAGCTGTATAGATGTATGCCGTGTTTAGTTCTTTTCAGAACTAGGGCTCACCATGACAATGAGTGAGTCACTGTTGGGTAGATGAGATAGTAGTTCTGAGCCGTCCATCTTATGGGTTGGTTTTCATTGTTTTCTCGTTCTCATTGAAAAGAATGTGCACAGTCTAGGCGGTGCAAAAGAGTTCTGAAGCTGACAAACATCATGCATGTGCCAGCCAGTGCTTCTCGTCAGGAGCGGGCTTCTTCCTCGGCAGGCAGGGGAAGCAGCTTTGTGCTTTGGTGCCCCAAGATTTGATCAGTTCCCCACCTGCAAGGGCTAGTTTTTTACTTGTGTCAGGGTTAGCAGGTGTACAGATCTTCACCTAGGCCAGTTGGCACCTCCACTAGTTTGAAGCCCTTCACGGCGCGTCCCGACCCAGGCGGCTTCTTTGCAAAGCCCCGCAGGTGGAGCGGCTTGGTGCCGCTTGGCCGAGGCCGCTTGGCTTGGGCCATGTCCATGGGTCCAGCTTTAGCCACCAATGTCAAACATACAGCCTGCTCACTTCATTGAAAGGCCACCCTAAACCGCGCAAAACTATAGTGGTCCGCAAATAAATAGTGGCACGGTTTCCAATACATGTTTACACTCCCGGCGTTTAACATGGAACCAGGGCCAGGGGAGGCAATGGGGAACATGGAAGTGCGTCACGGTTGGCCACGCTGGGGAATGGTAGGGAAACAAAAGATTGCATATAATAAGCATGGAAATTTTAAGAAGTGCGACGCACTTCTGCGTAATCCAGTTTTTGCTTGGTCCTGGCTTCAACTGTGGATATCTTCCATGTTTATTAGACAGGGTTTCACTGGGGAAAACACGGGGAATTCCCTACAGCAAACTGTATGCACTAAAAACATGTTGTTTATATATATATATATATTCTAATCAATATTAAAACCCAATTATTTTAGAATATGTGTTCTACTCTCTCTCTCTCTCATGTTTATTACCATCACACTTTCTGACAAACACAGAACTGGAAAGCATATCCAAGCCATTTTTGAGTTCCATGTTTAATGCCTCTAGAGTAATTAGTGGGGATTTACCTTTCTATCTATGACAGGGGGTCTGTATACTTGCAAACTCACTGACCTGCTAGGTAAGACCTTCTACTCACAGAGCATGCGAGGTTTATACCGCCATCCTCGGGTTCATACCTTCAGCCTCGTCCGTGCAACCAGCGCTTCACAGCGCTGCCTGCGCTGTCTGCAGCGCTGGAGGCGTAGAGGCAGCGGAACACCCTTCTTGAATGGAGTTTCATGGACTTCTAGATTGAACCTGACCCAACCTACTCTTTGCACCCTTTGCCTTGCTTCTATGACTTACATCAGTTTATTGGATCTGCTTTTGATCTTTTTCGGGCTTTGGAATCAGTCGGTGCCTGATCCGTCAGTGCTCCGTCTTTGTGTTGCCGCGGTTTGGAGGGAAGAGGCCCACACGGAAGCGACGTCGTCGTTGGAGCGAGACCGGGGTTTCGACCCGCTCGGTCTCCGGTCGCTCGAAACGCTTCCGGTCCAAGCCGAATCGAAACGCTGCCGGATCGAGGCGACCTGGTTCGCTGCTTGGGACCCCCGCGGGAGACCCGACACCGGGTGAAGTCCAACGTCCCAGGGCGAAGGAGAGAGAGGACAGGAGACAGGAGCCGGCAATCCACAGGTCTTGTTCTGGTATGCTTTGGTTTTCGTGTCGTAATCCGTCCATATCCATCTTTTAGGGGATCCAAAAATAACAACACAGGTCAAGTTGATCAAACATTGGCAATTGGGGCAACAATTCCCTTTGGGAATTCCTTTCCCCCGAGACTAGCATAGCAACTCACTGACAGATTGGCTGATGGGACAGCGGGAGTGTACCTTCTTGAACCATGGCCAGTCCCAAAAAGAGCACCGCAGGCCACAAGGAGCGGCCGCCTGGGCTGTGGACCGAACAAAGACACGAAAAAAGACACGTGCGTGCACGTGTGGGAGTGGTGGATTTTGGCCGCAACTTCGTGATGCGGAGCGTGAGAGCTTGAGGGATCTAGATTCTTGGTGGGGACAAAGGGGTGTCTCAAAGTATTGGATCTTTCAGTAGCACTGCAAAGTTTGGAAAAGTACTCGCACACACACTCGCACACCAATCAGCCCTGTTGTGGTTGGTTGTCTTGTGACCAGTGGCGCTTGGTTGCTGAGCCGAGTGGTTTTTCCGGGGTTCTCCCCCATCAAGCGGCCTGTGAGTCAAGCAGTTTCTGAATGAAGGCAGTACAGGTGGGGCAGGATGAGCAGGATGACCATCAACAGGGACCCCCTGAAAGGGGCTGAACACCTTCTTGCATCCACCAGGCCCGATTTTCAGCGCCAGTGCAGGCGCGTGCTTCTGTTTTTTTCCACGGCAAAAGACTGCATGGGAGCCTATCCCAGAATAGACCACCAGCACAGTCAAGTTTAAGCCCAGCACAAGGTCCTTGTTACTTGTTTCTTGTCCCCCTTACTGGTCCCTGGTATGTGGTGGGGGCCAGTCCGACAGATCGTTGGCTTCGCGGTGGGAGAGTGAACACGAGCGATTTCCGTTGGGTGGTGATCCACTCGTCCCATCCAGTGGATCAGAAAAACACCCCGATCTTCCAGTAGAAGAAGCACCACTTTGGAACCGTGGCGGTTACATATGTATATATAGTTATAGCCAAGCACATATATACTTTAACTTAGATCATCTCTATGTCTGTGCTTGGCTATAACATATATATATAGTTATTGGAGTTATATGTTATAGCCAAGCACAGACATAGTGATCTAAGTTGAAGAGTATCGACCAGATGGATCCGGTGCCCGGTAAAACCACCCGAGTCAAGAGGATCATGAGGATCGAACGGTGTGGTGGGGGTGCGATGATCCATGGTGATTAAGGCGGAAAGGGTAGCACCCACTGTTTCATTTAGTTTGATGGTTATTCCCTGGTTGGTCTGACTCCCAGTTCCACGAGAGCAGACTTGCAGCAAGCACTTCGTCTGACTCAGTCTTTTGGATAAACCCTCAGTCCTTGATGACTTGTTTGGTCTAATCTTCAGCTATGGCCGTGGTCTGCATGGTGAAGAGGGTGCATTGAAGATCCAAAGGGATTGAAGAGGTCTGCGAGTACAACAAATCCTGACCTTATGCATCCGTGATTGTCCGGCAGTGAGGATGATGTAGAGTCTTGATCAATACCCCCATTGGCTATTAATTAAGAGTCTATACTACCGGTATGAGTTTGGTCGTTTGGGGTTTCTTTCAGTCGTAGCATATTGGAGCATGGCGTTTCGTTTGGTTTTCTCGAACCCGTGAGGCGCAGACCGACTACCCGGGTCAATTCCAAGGTCGCTCTAGGGCGCGGCGAGTTCCCGGGCGAACCGGCGAGTTCTCGGCTTTGTCGCCTTTTGCTCCCTGAGGACAACACCCATTTTCGTCGCTCAGAGGGGTGGTGGACAATTCAGCTTGTTTCGTGATCCCCAAATAGACGACCTAGTAGAAACAAGTGCCACGCTAGTAGTAACAGGTGCCTTACTATTTTGCAGGAAACCTCCTGTCGACGCCACGTGACGTCCACGCGACGGTTCCGAATATGAAACATCAGGTGGGTCGTGCCGGGCCGTCGACCGTTCCCGGTCTGCCGAACACCAAATACCATGTTGTATTGTAGAGAGAACGTTTTGTTGTTATATCCTTTGATTGTATAACATTCTTTTCTTTTTTTTTCGGTGAGAAGATGATATAACATGGAACCAAGAAAGGAGAGAAAAGGGTTCTCTTCCTGGTCAGCACTGGAAGAGGTTCTGGTCACAGGCGTTTTGAGGTTCTGATGTCCATATGGTGGCCTTCAAACGGCCTTGGCGTTTCACATATATCTGTGGAGCAGAAGACTTGCGGTCAAAGCCATCCAATTCTCAGATGGAGCCTGGGGTCCTTGTTCTGCTTTCTACGCTGGCTTGCTTCTTTGCGATTTGAGTGGGAACTTCACATGCCCCGGCTTGAGATGCAACCTTTTGAACTCTCAATTCTTGAAACAATTCCGAATAATCATGACTTGAACGCATGACCGGCTTCTCTCAAGTGGGGGTATTTTTCACATCCCCCAAATTCCGAATTTGGCCTCCTGTCTTGGAATACAACTCTGAGTTTTCATGAGTTTCATGGCCCCAACGGTGCATCAACGGCTGCCCAATTGCAAGGCTGGGTCCCTGTGGATGAAAGAGGCCTGGCACTTGGAAAGGAACGTTTCTGTTTTGGTTTATTATTCTCACGCAGCCACGAGTCAGCGAGCTCATGGATGAACAGTAATTAGAAGCCATGTAAATTCTGTTTTGGTTTAAAGGCACAGTCTTTTCGTCCAAGACCTGCACAGAACCACTTTGCTTGTGCCTGCCGCAAAACAGACCCATTTTGGGATAGGACACTTCCCAGTGAGCTGTTCTGGTGGCCATTTGGTGCCACTGGCCATACCTAACCTGCTGCACCGAGGTTATGTCTTAACGGACTGGGCACGCCAGGAGGTGTGGTTTCTCCAGTTTGTGCGGCGTTTGGCTGACAGCGGACCGCAGGTTTTAGCCCACTTTGGGCATCAAGGCCAAGGCCAAGGGAGAAGATGCAGAGAAGACCAACACTCTAAAGAGTTCTTTTTCTTGACCCTATTGCACTACATTGCGCTCATTTTGGTGTGATGGCACTCCATGCAGTCCATTTTCTTCCTGTTTCGCAAAACCGTGAAAGCCTCACGAGGGGCTTGGCAGCTATCCAAATGAAGCAATGAGTTTCTACCTAGAGCAGGGTATATACTATATTTAAGGGCTGCCGCCCCTGCCGCCGACCCCGATTCTCAGGTCCGGCTTTTCCTCCATTGGTTGGCAACACGTCACTAGCAACTCTGTAAAGATGGCCGACAGAAGACCGAGAGGAGCCTACATCACTCCACTTAGAACATCATCCTTGCAAACAACATGTTTCGGTCGATTTCATCAGCTCCAATGCCAAAATCGAATCAGACAAAATGGTTAATAATACGACAGATAAGATGACATGACATGGTCTAGTTAGGATTTAGCAGGATCAGTTAAAACATTCCCGCGTTGAAGACAAACATCGATCGGCATGGCCGGCTGTGGTGGCGAGTGGCATCAACACCTGGTCCCGCCACAGCTTTTCCCAATCTAATTCTGCTCCAAAACAAGCCTCCCATGGTCCCACTTTGACTCCCTAACGCCGCCTCTGAATCCCTAGAAAAAAAGAAGTTTGTGTCCATTTGTCTCGGTCATCTTGGCCCCGAACACCTGGTCCCGCCACAGCTTTTCCCAATCTAATTCTGCTCCAAAATGAGCCTCCCATGGTCGCACTTTGGCTGCCTAACGCCGCCTCTGAATCCCTAGAAAAAAAGAAGTTTGTGTCCATTTGTCTCGGTCATCTTGGCCCCGAACACCTGGTCCCGCCACAGCTTTTCCCAATCTAATTCTGGTCCAAAACAAGCCTCCCACGGTCGCACTTTGGCCCCGAACACCTGGTCCCGCCACAGCTTTTCCCAATCTAATTCTGCTCCAAAACAAGCCTCCCATGGTCCCACTTTGGCTCCCTAACGCCGCCTCTGAATCCCTAGAAAAAAAGAAGTTTGTGTCCATTTGTCTCGGTCATCTTGGCCCCGAACACCTGGTCCCGCCACAGCTTTTCCCAATCTAATTCTGCTCCAAAACAAGCCTCCCATGGTCGCACTTTGGCTGCCTAACGCCGCCTTTGAATCCCTAGAAAAAAAGAAGTTTGTGTCCATTTGTCTCGGTCATCTTAACCCCGAACACCTGGTCCCGCCACAGCTTTTCCCAATCTAATTCTGGTCCAAAACAAGCCTCCCACGGTCGCACTTTGGCCCCGAACACCTGGTCCCGCCACAGCTTTTCCCAATCTAATTCTAGTCCAAAACGAGCCTCCCATGGTCGCACTTTGGCTGCCTAACGCCGCCTCTGAATCCCTAGAAAAAAAAACTAGTACATTCTGGCCCATCCGTACCCTGTGAACCTGAGCACCGGCACAGACCTTACCACAAGAGATTCACAGGCACCTGCACCAAAAACTACTCCAAAACAGACTCAACTGCTCGCACATTCGGGGCCAAACGTTGCGTCTGGATCCCTAGAAAAAAACACTTTCGTAGCATTTTCCACCACTAACCAGCCTCCCACAAAGCTTCCACGAACAGCCTGCCAAAAGCTTTCCAGCCTCCCAAAAGCATCTGAAATCACCCCTTCGCCACGGATTTAACCCATTGAGTTCTGCTCCAAAGGAGCCTCCAAAAAGCTTCCACCAACAGCCTGCCAAAAGCTTTCCAGCCTCCCAAAAGCATCTGAAACCACCCCTTCGCCACGGCTTTAACCCATTGAGTTCTGCTCCAAACGAGCCCCAATTCCTCGGACGGTCGGTGTCAAACGGACGCTCTGGATCCCTAGAAAAAAAACACTTTCCTAGCATTTTCCACCACTAACCAGCCTCCCAAAAAGCATCTGAAACCACCCCTTCGCCACGGCTTTAACCCATTGAGTTCTGCTCCAAACGAGCCCCAATTCCTCGGACGTTCCGTGTCAAACGGACGCTCTGGAACCCTAGAAAAAAAAACAATTTGCTAGCATCTTCCACCACTAACCAGCCTCCCAAAAAGCTTCCACCAACAGCCTGCCAAAAGCTTTCCAGCCTCCCAAAAGCATCTGAAACCACCCCTTCGCCACGGCTTTAACCCATTGAGTTCTGCTCCAAACGATTGAGTTCTGGCGGATCTATCATTATTCCCTGGCGCGCTCCCCCTTGCGTCGGCCGGGGTCGGCGGATATATGTATATATCTGGAACGGTCGGTGAACAATGATCACTATTTTTGAACAAGGCCTGCAACTGAACCATCATCATCCACTGTTACAGGGAATGGGATATGATATACCCAATATACACAGGGAAGTTTCGGAAGTTTCGCCCCCGATTGCGGACTGGATCCAGGCACCCAACCCTTTCTTCGCATTTCGTTGCACCAGTTACCCTCGTGAAAACTCACACGAACCCTGTGGTCTTGGCCCCCCTGGAAGATTGTTATCCTCTACCAACCACTGTCTTTCAGGTCTATGTTAGTCTTCCAGGGGGTAGTATAGAGACCCCCTGTCATAGATAGAATTTCGTCCCCACGTAGAACATGTAGACAGGAAACCGTGCCAACCGGTCATCTATTTGGGGACAACTTGTTTGTTTTCAGCGTGACCATCCGAGAACCGACGGTCTTCATCGGCGGCGGTTCTCGTGTCGCGGAGCGCGGACTGGTCCGTCCCAGGCCGAGCATTTGGAGGCCCGTCCCCAAAGGCCGATGTGAGGGAGGAGCTGGGCTTGCTGGTGAAACAAGCAGTGAAACCATGAAGACATGGAAAAAGCCACCTATCAGAGAGAAAGGAACTGCACCTTTTCATGATCAACGGGGCATTTGTAGAAATCCGGCCGCTTCCGGCGATGTGGGGCGAACACGACTCGTGTGGCCGAACTCGACTCGGTCAGAACGGGAGAACTCGACTCGTCTGTGGGTCGTCGTTGACCAAGCCACGCGGATGGAACGACCAAACGACCCGATACCCCATCCCCCGGAGATAAGACAAAATTCTGACACCATCGCGGGAGAGTTCTTTTTTCTTTTAGGACCAGTGTTTCAACGCTTTGTGATGTTGGTTTCGGGTCATGACCCCTAACTGACAACGTTCTTCTGCCGTGTGGCCGCTGAAGCGCTGAAGATGTTCATGCTTTCCACCAAGATCTTGCAGTGGCGCAGCATGCAGAGCTTGCCCATCCAAAAACACCAGAGGTGATAAAGGTGATGAGCATAGCGCCTCAAATGAGCAGCGCCTTAGGTGAACAGTCTTGCTGGAGCTTTTGACACACCACTCGGAGTAATTGGACCCCGCCATGGCTCGAAGAATCCTTGCTGCGCTCATCTTGGGCGCCTGGTGCTCCTTCAGGCTTGCCTTCGCTGCTTGGAACGCACCGATTGCTGAGGGTCCAGGCCCTTTGGTGGGACCAATCCGCCTTTGACCACCTTTTCGCACCATAGCCATAGACCTCCCCCCACAACGGTGTGTTGTGAAGGATTCTCTTCCTTAGGGCCCTGCTGGGAAACCCAAGGGTACCAGCCCCGCAGAAGGGTCCAATGGATGACGATAAGCATGGTAGTCGATGGGTGTTCATTGCATGGTTCATGTATACATTCAAACTCCCACTATTTTTTTTTGGGGGGGAAGGATGCACCTTGATTCCAAGCACCCAGACGCTTGCAAGCTGGCTCCCCCAAATTTACGGCCTCTATCACTGCAGGCCTCCATCACCACGGGAAGTCTTTCTTCACCTGACAACATTCCCGGAGATCCGAAGGAGTCTTCACCCCGACTCGTGGAAGAGTCTTCACCCCTGTCGGGAGTTGTTTTCTACGAGAAACACAGGTGGGCCCTGAACTTTTTCCAGGTAGGATCAAGGTGGACCACTGTGACAGAACCAAGAACAGCAGTCAAAGTCGAAGCAAAAGCAGAGGCTCGTCGGCCCAAAAACCGGTAAGCGGCTGAATGTTGCCCACAAAAGGGGAAGATGTCTTGAGAACATTCAAGCTACTACCATCATCCAATAGTTTCGAGTGCCCATGGGAGGATAGGGATGCCCAGAACATTCACTCATTTAGAGACAAGAAACTACCCTTTGTCACTCCAGGATGTTACACCACCTTGATGAGATATTTTGTCATGCAGCTGTGCGAAAAGACCGAAGGTGTTGACCACGCCCGGTGCACGAACCGAAGGAGGGGGCCAAAAGAAGAGTTCCACCCCTAGATATGTGTCCCTAAAGAGAAGACTTTCAGCTCGAAGCCTGTCTGTGGACATAGACTGTTCATATCTGTTCATCACCCTAAAGCCCTAGCTTTCACCGGGCGATTCGTTTTGCCGCTTCGCCTCGTTCCCCTCCCAGGTGGGCAGCAGTTGGTCGGGCGCCCGCGCGGGAGCGGGCTCAACTGTGCTGAGGGCGGTGAAGGGACCACCCTTGACGTTGACACCGGAGAACGTGGAGGCGCGAGGCGTTTGCTCCGGGCGAAAACTGGTGGAGCGAATGAGCACCCATGTACATCACATGGCTGAAGAAAGAAGGCAAAACGATGTTCCTCCACTTCTGGGTCCTTTAAAGAACAACATTCATTCCATTTCCAGGTGCCACACCAAAAGCGCTCATGATGTGGAAATGTGAGAAACATCACCACCAATCCTCAGGGGGTTCCATGCGCGATAAGTCGAGACGTGATGTATCACGCTTATGGAGTGGTTGCTTCCAAGATTCCAGTCAAAAGAAGGGAAAGACGACGCATGGCACATCACGTCGCAGGCGGCATTCGAACACACAGAGTTGATAATGCATTCAACAGTTTATGATCGTATGGAATCTGGATCGGTCGATTGTGAAACACTTGGATTGGCATGGTTGACGGGTTTGACTTGAGCCCTCAAGGCCGCCCATCCTGAGGTGCGTCCAAAGTTTAGCCCGTAACGGCTAAGTTCACTCTCACTCTCAAGACTAAACAAAGTATGCCCCTGGACACTCAGGGTATATGTATATTGTATTAACTTATATTTTATATTGTATTATGCTAGCTTGGATCAGATTAGATTATATGTTATATTATAGTTATATATCTGATATATATATATATACATATTATATTTTGCTATGTTATATATATATATATATTGAGTATCATATATGGTTCATATAATATATATTGTATATATTATATGTTGCATATTATCTATATTGTATATGGTATATGTATCCTTAACCATCCCTTCATCCATGGACGGTTTTGACCATGTTTTGTTGGGACCTCAAAAGCCAGCACCTTTGAGAGTCCATGATTCTTAAAGTCTTAGGGGTATATATTGACATGTGTACATACACGGTTTGGGGAGAACGCAGGCCGAGGCTCCAACGAAGCTTGGTCGGGACAGTCATAGAGATGTTCGTCTCAGCTGGCCGTTTCTGCGCCCCAAACAGCCCATGAACAACAAGTTCTTTGATATTTGGTGTGTATTAGACATGTAGGACACATGTCGCAGACGAAACACAAAGATTGGTTTGTCGCTGAACTTGTGGCATTGATCTCTTGCAACAACGGCTCCACAATGGAATTTTGCTGAGGTGGTTCTACAAGAGGCACGCTACCACCACCTTCAAAACTGCTTCGGGTATGTCGAGGAGAGCTCGTGCCTTGGCGTAGTTCGAGCTCCGCTGGGCGCACGCTGCGCGTGGGAGGAGGTGTCCCGGGAATGCGCAGGGTTCGGCGTGTCGTCAGACCGTGTCGACAGTGTGGGTCCTGTCCAGATCGATGACTCCCTTGGATGACCATTTTTTCGACCAAACAGGTGGAGCACGGTGGAGCCATCCTCTTCCAAAGGAGGGGAAACGCAGGAAGTGGCTTGTGGGGGACTGTCCTGCCCCAACCGTCGAGGGTCAGAATCCAAGGCGGCGATGTTTTGATGTTCGGTTGGTGGTTCGGTCTTGGGTTAGGTGAAACAGCTTTCATTTGGTCCTGGGATGTCCTGGGTTTTAAGGGATTCAGGCGAAACACGAACACAAAGTTGGGATTGTTCGACTGCTTCATGGTGCATGACGTCAATTCAACTTGGCTTCCATCCTGCAGGGGTGCCGGCATCACGGGCAAGGCCGGGGTGCGATGATCTTTGCAAACTTGCTTCCCCGATCAATTTGGAAGGTTGTTTCGGGGGTTCAAAAACCCCACGCATGCGCCGGAAGATGTCATAAATCTGGGTTCTTCCATGGAGCAGGTGTCCTTTTGTGAGGGGAAATCCTTGGTTCAGAATGTATGCAGGTCACCTCTAATGGTTCAGAAGGTATCCTTGGTTTTCGCACTTCCAGCTCAAAAGTCTCAAGAGGTCGCAAAGCCATCCAAAATGGTGCCCAATTGCCAAATACCTTTAATTTCCATCGACGGTGCCGTGTCCATGCGAGTTCACCATGAATCTCGGTTTTCTCGGGAGAAAACCATCAGATATTCCGAAGCTGGGCGAAATCAGATATTTACTGATCTATCCTTCCCCTTGTCAGGGAAGACACATCCTTTGAATCTATCCCTCTGGTGGGTCCCAGATCAGGATGCAACTGGACTGAACAGATGCCACTGTGAAGGTGAACTGGAACGCAGAGGATCTGATTCGCACCAAACATTTGGATACATTTGGCATTCTTCAGCCTCAAATCACTCTGCTGACCTCCCCGACCCCCCGTGAAAAACGTGGTTTTGCTTTGCCCAGCGCGGCCCCAAACCAAAAGCGCGGCCCTTCGCCGCACCGCGCGGCCATTCGCGCAGGTGGATTTGATGGAAGTGGAAGGCCCTTGCGTTTTCATTCACCTCCATGGTGCCTTTTGGCACAACCGTGAGGCGCGCCGCGAGAACCGAGACCGACACCGTGCGACGCAACACCGACACGTTCGGCTACCCATCGAGATGAGACACGACGGGAGTCTATGAACTGCGGAATGAAGAGGAAGGTGCGGCGAGTTTGAAGGACACCAATAAAACCACGTGGACATGCAGATATGTTCTTTCCAACTGAGAAGCACACCCTGATTGGTCATGTTTTCATCACTTGGCTTTCTTTCCCAGTGGGGAACCCATTGGAAGAGCTCTCATGGCGGCATCGATGGGGAGGGATTGGACTTGTGGTGGGCACCACGAGTGCCCTTCACAGATGTGTTGGCCAACGGAGGGGAGACCTGGAGAATCCACGTGACCCGTGGTTTTAGCTCGTTCGGTGACCAAAAAGGAGACCGTTTTTGACCAGGGCATGCACATGCTTGAGGGTTGACCGTGAAGTGGCTCCTTTCGCGTTGGAAGGAGGCGTTACTTCTGCTCTGAACGGGGCTTGAGGTCACACACTTCGAACTTTTGGTTTTCAGTTAACGCAATTGTCTCAATGG